CTTCTTCTGTGTCTTGCCCTCTGGGATAAATTTCCCCTCCCTTTGATTCCTCTTTCAGTATTCCACTCTTTCCATTTTCAGAGACTGGCCAATCACCATAAATATCAGCAAATTTAATCTCTTTATATTCATTTTCCACTTTGATTTTTTGAGTTTTAATCACCACATTTTGCATTTGATAAACATCTTCAACTTCTTTATCATATTTTGCTGCTATGTCCTCTAAGTTTCCAACTTCTTGTCTATCTTCTCATATGTATTTGATAATTTCTATATTTCTGAAAATATATTTTGCAAGCTCAAGGTTTCTGTTTGCTTTTGGAATTATGCCATTCTTTCCAGCTAACAAACACAGCTGCTCTAGCTTGGAAGGTTAAAAAAATTAAACATAGATTCACAAAAACATTTGTTTTCCCTTTTTTCTGGTTAGAGATATTCTTCAAAGGGGCATCTGTGTGCTTCCCTTCTTATCACTTTCTATAACCAAGCAGTATGACCTTACAGTGCCAAGCCAAAACAATCAGTAAAGAAAAAAGATGCATCTGAAGGTGCTTCTGTGGTCATGGGGCAGTATGATTTTATGCTGTGGTGCACGGAATTCTGTTACCTTCCCACTGATTGGTACCTATTTATCTACTTGCATTTGCTTTTGAGTTGCTAGGTGGGTAGGAGCTGGAGCAAGAACAGGAGCTCAATACATCATGCAACATTTGGGTCTCAAACGGCCGACCTTCTGGTTGATAAGCCCAGCGGGCATATAGTACATTAATGCTTTGGGAGTGGAGAGACTCTCTTCCTAAAACTGTGTTCTTTCCAATGCAGGTCCTATTTAGGAGTCTCAGAAAAGGACCTCCATGATTCAATGGTTGGGTTCGTACCTGACCTCACTTCTCTCGAGCTGGACCTCAAAGGGAACCTTCACTGTCACTCCAGCTGGGCATCCAGCAATGGCAACAACACTGAGCAAAAGCGAGCTCGTCGGAAGCTTTATCTTGCTTCCGCCATCTGCTTGGTCTTCATGACTGGGGAAATTGCAGGTAGGCGGCTAAGATTTTGAAGGCTCTGTGAGGTCCTTGGAGGCCGCCCTTAGAGGTGAGCTGATGGTTGGAGTGATCCAGTGGCATTTAAGGCAAAAGGATACAAATTGTTGGTGAAGATTTGTAATTACCTAGAGCAGGGCTGTCAAGCTTGCAACCCAGTTGCATCATGTGCTGGCCATGCTCACTTTAACAAAGTGGGGGGGAGTCTTGATATGTCACCTGACAATGCCATGACAACGCACATTTGACACCCCTGACCTCAGTAGTGGGTTTCAATTTTTTTTAGAACCTCTTCGGTAGGTGTGGCCTGCTTTGTGGGAGTGGCTTGCCAGCCATGTGACCGGGTGGGCGTGGCTAACTTGTAAAATGTGGTGAAACTCACTTAAGAACACTCTTGCTTAGCAACCAAAATGTTGGCTCAGGAACTCTGGCATGAAGAGCGCAAGTCTTAAAGCTGTCAAGTTACAAGACCCTCGCACCCCTAACCCTTTAGAAAAGAAATCCCACGGGTGTTCAAACTTGACAGCTTTAAGACTTGTGGACTTCAACTCCCAGAATTCCTCCTCCAATCATGTTGGCTCAGGTACTCTGGCATTGAAGCACACAAGTCTTAAAGCTGTCAAGTTACAAGACCCTTGGGGGTTTTTTCTAAAGGGTTAGGGGTGCGAGGGTCTTGTA